AACTGTTCCCACAGAGTTGGGAGCATGAAATTGTCCAAAATGTCTTGGTATGCTGACGCCTTAAGAGTTCCCTTCACTGGAGCTAAGGGGCCAAGCCCAACCCCTGAAAAACAACCCACACCATAATCCCCCCTCCACCAAACTTTATACTTGGCACAATACAGTCAGTCAAGTACCATTCTCCTGGCAACCGCCAAACCCAGACAAGTTTATCAGATTGCTAGACAGAGAAGCATGACTTGTCAATCCAGAGAGCACGTCTCCACTGCTCTAGAGTCCAGTGGCGGTGTGCTTAGCACCACTGCATCCGACTCTGTGCATTGCACTTGGTGATGTAAGGCTTGGATGCAGCTGCTCAGACATGGAAACCCATTCCATGAAGCTCTCTATGCACTGTTGTTGTCCTAATCTGAAGGCCACATGAGGTTTGGAGGTTTTTAGCTCTTGACTCTGGAGACTATGCGCTTCAGCATGCGTTGACCCTGCTCTTTCATTTTACGTGGCCTTCTACTTCCTGGCTGAGTTGCTGTTGTTCCCAGTTGCTTCCACTTTGTTATACTACCACCAACAGTTGACTGTGGATTATTTTGTATGAAGGAAATTTCATGGATGGACTTATTGCACAGGTGGCAACCTATCATGTTACCATGCTTTAATTCACTGAGCTCCTGAGAGCGACCCATTCTTTCACAAATGTTTTTAGAAGCTGTCTGCATGCCTAGATGCTTGATTTTATACACCTGTGGCCATGGCGATGATTGGAACACCTGAATCCAATGATTTGGATGGGTCTCCCAATACTTTTGGCAATATAGTTTATATATATATATTAAACATACATACATATATTGCCTGATTTTTATAATTGATCTGTTACCATTTTTGAGATGTTTTGGTTATAAAAAAAAGGTATGATCCCTACAGTCAAGACCAGCCTAGCTGTTTTAAAGATTCATCCCAGGTATGGATATTTTTTACATAGCTATATTGGTCCAGCTTGGGCCAATTTATATACAATACCTGACCAATGCCCCTGAAAGCTGGAAATCAATAAAGTAGAGACTGCTGCTTCAGTGATCTTTGCTTGCTTCCAGGTCCCATGCTAAGCAGCTGGCCTTGGGTAAAAATATACTATCCCTGGAATTCATCTTTAAAGCCCTAATTCATTCTTCATAACTCTCGCCTCCTGCCCCCCACCTCCACTTTGAGGATTTAAAGAAAACTGATGCAAAAACAGATGAAAAAAAAACTGATGTAAACTGATGAAAAACTGATCCGTTTTTTCTTTGAAAAAATGTGACTGAACTGAGGATAAAAACAGGACACCTGTGTAAAAGGACCCTTAGGGCCAATTCACCCCAGTGCCTTGATCTGCGTTTTAGCACAGCTGTAAAACGCAGATCAACGGAAGGCCATCTGAAAAACAATCATTTCCAATGTGTCTTTTTCAAACCATAATGCTGTGTTGACCTGTTTTGCGCTAAAATGCAACATGTATGCATTTTAGCGTATCGCAAGTGGATGTAAGCGGATGTCAACACAATGCACAGGATATCCTGTGTAAATGTAGTATGCCTTAACGCATGCTAAAATGCATGTCAACGGACATCAAAATGTATGACAACAGATGTTAGCATGGGACTAAAATGGATGAAAATGTACATCCATGTGCTATACATTTTAGCGCATGTCAGTGTGAATTGGCCCTTACACAGTGACAGACCATTGATCTGTCACAGTATCTTACATAATCATGGGTGAGCAACATCCTGTACTGCGAGCCCAGGAGTAATGACGCACCCAGAGGGGTTTGGTCCATGATGGCCTGGGTTCACAGAAAGTGAGATGAATGATACTACCATGAAGAGAAGTGCCATGTAGAGGAGGATAAGACTTTCTCAAGGGGACAGTGCTGACGTGAAGGTAAGTATTGCAGGAAAATCTATATTATATGCTGGGCAATTTTTCTTAAACATTTATATGACCCAAAGTTTTGTTTTTAAGATGCACTGTATGAGCAAGTTTTGCTTCACAGCCATTCATATTGCCATAAGTTCTTGTTGATATGTATATCTACATTTATGTCTTCACTGTTACATAACAGAGACTTAAATAATACTAACAGATTGGAAAGATGCAGGATCCACACATTTGAGACATTACAACCAATTGCTTACGTTTATGTGCATGCCTTCCATTTCCTAAGCACCAGGAGCTGTTGTAGTTAGCACAGATTTCTGTAAATTCATTCAACTGAGAACCACTAACAATATTGTGCGGACATGCCTTGGTTCAATTACAATCAGCAGATATTTCCTTCTCCATATTTTGTGAACTCTGCTGGACTAATCTGGGCCCTGCTGTTGCACATAGAAAGCCTCTTTATCCGTTCTTTTAAGAGCAGCGAAATGAAATAGGTAGTCATGTAATCATTTACTTATCTCTTTGTATCAGAGCTTATGATGTTTGTAATGTTGGAAGCTGGCATTACTGTGTTTCAAAAACAATTATTTTACAGTACCATATACTTTGTAGAGAGAAAAAAGCAACAAATTATAGACCAAGCATCAAACAGCTGATAGAGATTAACCCTTCTCTACCTGAAATATAGCCTCTCCCCTTGGCTATATGTATATATATATATATATATATATATTGCTCAAAAAAATTAAAGGAACACTTTTTAATCAGAGTAATCAAGTCAATTAAACTCCTGGGATATTGATCTGGTCAGTTAAGTAACAAAGGAGGTTGTTAATCAATTTCAGCTTTTCAGCTGCTTTGGTGTTAATGAAATTAACAACAGGTGCACTAGATGGGCAACAATGAGATGACCCCCAAAACAGGAATGGTTTTACAGGTGGTGGCCACTGACATTTTTTTCCCTACTCATCTTTGCTGACTGTTTTTCACTAGTTTTGCATTTGGCTAGGGTCAGTATCACTACTGGCAGCATGAGGCGATACCTGGGCCCAACTCCTCCAGGATGGCACATCAATACGTACCATTGCCAGAAGGTTTGCTGTGTCTTCCAGCACAGTCTCAAGAGCATGGAGAAGATTCCAGGAGACAGGAAGTTACCCTAGGAGAGCTGGACAGGGCCATAGAAGGTCCTTAACTCATCAGTAGGACCGGTATCTGCTCCTTTGTGCAAGGGGGAACAGGATGAGCACTGCCAGAACCCTACAAAATGACCTCAAGCAGGCCACCAGTGTAAATGTCTGTAATCAAACAGTCAGAAACAGACTTCATGAGGGTGGCCTGAGGGTACAACATCCTCTAGTGGGCCCTGTGCTCACTGCTCAGAACCATAGAGCTTGATTGGAATTTGCCATTGAACACCAGAATTGGCAGGTCCACCATTGACGCACTGTGCTTTTCATAGATGAGAGCAGGTTCACCCTGAGCACATGTGACAGACATGAAAGGGTCTAGAGAAGCCGTGGAGAACGTTATGAAGGAAATGATACCACTGAATGGCCCCCCACTCTCGCCTTACCTAAATCCAATAGAACACCTCTGGGATATCATGTTTTGGTACATCCGATGCCGCCACTTGCACCTCAGGCTGTCCAGGAGCTTAGTGATGTCCTGGTCCAGATCTGGGAGGAAATACCCCGAGGACACCATCCGTCCTCTCATTAGGAACATGCCCTGATGTTGTCAGATATGCATAGAAGCACGTGGGACCATACAAACTACTGAGTACCATTTTGAGTTGCCGCAATGAAATTTCAGCAAAATGGACTAGCCTGCTGCATATTTTTTTCACTTTGATGTTCGGGGTGTCTTTAAATGCAGTCCTCTGTAGGGTGATAATTTCCATTTCCATCAAATGATGGGGCATACTTACATTCCTAACACATCACCCAGTCCCTATCAGTATAGATATCCAGCATGAGATTTTTCCCCATTAAGTTGTGATGTGTTTTCAAAGTGTTTCTTTCTTTTCTTTTTTTTTGAGCAGTGTATATATACTGTATATCTTTATTACAGTTTTGTAAATTGGATTTTATTTTTTTTTCTTTTTGTTAAACTGGGATTTGTCCAGGATATATCATGTTTGCTGGTTGATTGACTTTGCGTTCAGTCTAGTTTATTCAATAAACAAGATTACAAGCATAGATTCCTCAGATGTTGGTTCTCAAATAATCACCTGCTATAGTGTGGAAACCTATATATCTGCTCTCCTATGCCTTAGTTCATGAAGCTAAAGAGTAATGTGTAGAAAGCAGTAACTCTGGGCAACCTTGCAGATATACCCTTAGATGGGTCTGACAACTAAATTGATTGCATTTTTTTTTTTTTTTTTGCTGCATCAAGCTTTGACTACAAATGCATGTATACAATAAATTAGATTAGGTTTCCGAAATCCATTTCAGGACATTTTAACATTGACTTTTTTTGCACTGAGAACAAATATCACTCTAATCTATCATTCTTCACCTACTATTACCTCCCACTGACTGCCCTTACACTTAAACTTCCCCCACCCTAAAGTAACCCTTTCTTTTACCAATTTACACAACAATTTACTAAAAACCTATAATAATTATTAATCTTACAGTATAAACATCTCACAGTGTAAATTCAGTGAACAAAAGATTTTACTCTAGACCCAGTTATTCCCCCATTGGAAGTTGCCATTGTGTCTGTCATACAACAAAGACAAGATTACTGAAGGCTATCAATTATCATCCAAACATCAAAGATACCCTATTCTTCCATGCGATAGTCATATGCAATTTCTCCCTGCATACATGAGCAGTCAGGAGAAGTAATCAGAGATTAAGATGAGGGCTTAGCTACTGTCTTTTTACAAAAACCTAAATTTTGCATATCATTAATAGTATTGCTTAATCTGCAAATTTTACAAAAGGAGTTAGAATGTTTGAAACAGGTGATGGAGTGGATTATAAACCACTTGCTCGCCAGAAAATTTACCCCCCCCCTTCCTAACCAGGCCCTTTTTATGCGATACAGCGATGCATTACTTTAACTGGCAATTGCGCAGTCATGCAACGTTGTACATAAATTACATTTATGTCATTTTTTTACCCCCAAAATATAGTTTTCTTTTGGTGGTATTTGAGAGCCACACAAAGCGGCCATATGCAGAGCCATACAAAGCAGTGTGCCCACAGTGTGCACACAGCCCACATAGTAAAACAGCACACAGTTAACCCTTTGATCGCCTCACATGTTAACCCCTTCCTGCTCAGTGCCATTAGTACAATGTCAGTGCTTTTTATTAGCACTGATCACTGTATTGGTGTCACTGGGGATGTCAGTGACACCAATTCAGTTCCCCCCCAGTGTCAGAATGGTCGCCGCAGTCCCGCTATAAGTCGCTGATCACCGCCATTACTAGTAAGAAAAAAAAATCAGTATATATACCGCCATTTGTAAACGCTATAACTTTCATGTAAACCAAATAATTTACACGTATTGGGATTATTTTTTTAGCAAAAACATGTAGCAGAATACATTTTTGCCTAAATTTATGATAAAATTTTATTTTTTTTTATTTTTTTACTGTACATTTTTAATAGCAAAAAGTAAAAAATAGTTTTTTTTTTTTCAAAATTGACGGTCTATTTTTGTTTATAGCACAAAAAATACAAAACTCAGAGGTGATCAAATACCACTGAAAGAAAGCGCAAATGTCATTTGGATGCAGTGTTGCATGATCGCGCAATTGTCAGTTAAAGTAACGCAGCGCCGTATCTCAAAAAATATCCTGGTCAGGAAGGGGGTAAATCCTCTGGAGGGCAAGTGGTTAAAGGAAAAGATGTACCTTTGTCATTTAATGCACAACTGTAATGTAAATGTATCATGTAAAGCACAACTCCAGGAGACATGTATATATACTGGGGATAATTTTGCTTACTTAAATACATGCTAATCAGATTAAATGTTACTGTAAAGAAGGACTTTTTTGTCTGAGGAAAGTTGTCCTTCCCTTGGCTCCAGAGAAGAGCAGCAAGGAGTACCGTTCGCTGCGCCAAATGCTGGGTTTAGCCATATTCTTCAGTGGAAGGGTTTTAAAGGGACTTGGGTAAATAAAACCTGAGTCTACTAACTGTATATATGGCACACATATACCAAAGTCCTTGTCAATAAGCCCTTACTGCTGTGTCACAAGCGAACGTCTAGCAGACAAATACACCTCTCAGCACAATCATTTTTTATACAATGAAACTTCCATTACATATGCCTTTCAGTCTATCTCAAAGAAGAACTTCATAAAACAGTCAATGACTACTTAGCAACCACAGCATAATAAAAGCCCATGGGTACACTGAAAAGAAAGTGGGATAATATAAATGCCATCACTGGTGGGAGTAAAAGAAGTTTTATTGCTGCCATTAGTGGGACAATATAAAATAAAATATGCCTTATTGTTGAGGTTAGTGGAAGAAAATAAGACCCATTGTTGGTGTCAGTAAGATAAATGAAGCCCCATGATATTGGTGTCCGTGTGATAAAATAGGAATCATTGATGGCACTCATGTACAGAATAACCCTCCTGCGTCATACAGATCTCTTACTTTGTGGCAATTGAACACCTGGAGTCTGCTGGATAGCGTGCAAAATTGCAGGTCCATCCTACAGATTTCAGGACACTTGGCATGTACGAGAAAGCATGCAGTACAGAACTGGGGAGGGTACCAGTATACAGTATGGGGATGTTCCAGCACAAAAAAAGCCCTATGGCAAAGTATAGTAATCCATATCAATTAATCTGTTTTTAGTTTTAGTCAAATCAAATCAAGTTTTTGTGTAGTACTTTATTTCCTCTGTCCTCTGAATATGGCTGTTAGTAGTATACAGTAGCAGAAGTTAATTAGCAGACTTTGTGACTTCAGTATTCAGACAACCTTTATAATACATATATTTTTTCTGATATTTTGAATTTCATGGATACAAGTAATACACCATGGCACAACTGAGACAAAAGCTTGAAAACCAGTAGCCAGTAGAATACAAGTAAAAATGAATATCTTAACAAACCGTTCAGGTGTTACTAACCACATACAGTAAAATCAGTCTGAATATGCAGTTAAGCATGCTTGTTATACTCACTGTGGAACCTCCACATTGTGTAAAAAGGCTGTTTGATCCTGTCGTCTCTGATCCTCTACTTCTTTCACAGTCCCCAATCCATCTGCTGATAGTACAGAGCCCTAGGAGACACTCTGCACATGCTCAGTTTGGTGTGTATTGCTAGAGAGGTTCTTTTTTTTTGGGGGGGGGGGGTGCATGTGATCGGCACAGGGCCAATCAGCAATGTCTGGACAGAGGGTCTGGAATCATGCAGCCTCATAGGACAGTCAAAGGAGAATGAAAACTCCTCCTACAACCTTTAACCAGTGCTTGGCCAGCCACTGATAGAAGTCACAAGACTGCTATATGCTGCCGTATTTCGACAAATTATGTGTGTTTCCATGTTCTGTGTACTGTGGCAGACCAGGTATAGTGAATGCAGGGGGTAAAAGGTAGATTTTAGAGGTTCAAATATAAGTTACTGTATCACCCAATATATGGCTTCCATCCAATAGCCAAAAAACATGCAGACAAAAAGGGGGTTTGTGAAAAGAAATTCACAGGAAAGCGGCTACATTATGAACAGAATGCGATGCTCAGAAAAATTTCCAAAAATTATGCTTTATTTCACATTAATGATTGACATACGGGCAATCGCCCTGGTTTACCATCACCTCAGTATGAGACAATATACACAGACCTAAAACCATTAAAATCACACCAAGACCGGTCTAGGTATATGTGCTGCAAAGGCTATGACCACAATAGTCTAAAGCACTTGCAGCACTGGCACATAGGTAAAACTCCCTAAAGGAGGTATATTCAAAAAAAGTGAATACAGGGTCCTGGGTTTAGTAGCGCTTTAATATCTCTAGGTGGTAAACTCCTTCTTTTTACAATAAGTCACTTGGTATAATATATTGCATGCTGCATTCCTTGATGATGCTAGAATTTTGTGCAAGGCAGTTATATTTTCATCTATAAGACTTGAAGAAATATATAAAAAAAAGTGGCATCATTTATAAAACACTCTAATTTTCTCTGTAGATTTGCAATATACGCATCAGACCTGAGACTCCATTCACTGAAAACTTTGTCATTGTTCATTTTGTTTTTAAATGGTAGTTATACACTAGATCTCTGACTGCTTATTAGAAAGCACTTTAGCACTTTGCTAAAGGCCCACAGTTCCCCACAGAGACTTCTTTGCAGCATCATAGTAATCATTTATTACTAATTCTATGCTTCAGATGCAAAGCAGTGCTCATCCAGTCTTTGTGATTCAGTTCTTGCACAAAGTCAGCCTTAGTGAGACTGTGTCTGCCGTGAGTATTCTTTGCGGATCTGTGCAGGCTCCTTTTCATTGCATTATTAACCACTGCATTCTCCTGTCCTTGAGTAGACTGAAACTCATCCTAATACCTGACTTTTATTTTCCATTAGATTACCATTCTCTTGAATGAACACTAGTTTTGGTCAGAAACTGGAAAGTACAGTACACTAAGGACTTATTATTGGTTACTGCTGTGTGTTTAGCCTTAAGGGTTTTGCCCACTTTCAAGTGTTTTTGTTGTTGTCAGAGGGCTGTTTCTTATGGGAGGAGATTGAGCTAAAGTCTGATCTGTTATCATGGTTCACACTGACAGTGTGAGGTCCCGCTCCCTACATTTGGTAATATATCATGAGTTAGACGTGCTCTGTTGGGGGGTTGGCACATGGAAGCAGTAATCTGAGCCGGATGGTGAAACACAAAGCGGCTTCTGAGCTTTCTATTATACACTGCTCAAAAAAATTAAAGAAACACTTTGAAAACACATCAGATCTCAATGGGGAAAAATGTCATGCTGGATATCTATACTGATATGGACTAGGTAATGTGTTAGAAAAGTAAGGATGCCCCATCTTTGATGGAAATGGAAATTATCAACCTACAGAGGACTGAATTCAACGACACCCCGAAAATCAAAATGAAAAAAACTATGCAGTAGGCTAGTCCATTTTCCTGAAATTTCATTGCAGCAGCTCAAAATGGTACTCAGTAGTTTGTGTGGCCCCCACGTGCTTGTATGCATGCCTGACAACATCAGGGCATGCTCCTAATGAGAGGACGGATGGTGACCTGGGGTATTTCCTCCCAGATATGGACCTGGGCATTACTGAGGTCCTGGACAGTCTGAGGTACAACCTGGTGGTGTCAGATGGACTGAAACATGATATCTCAGAGGTATTCTATTGGATATAGATCAGGAAAGCGTGGGGGCTACTCAGTGGTATCAATTCCTTCATCCTCCAGGAACTGCCTGCATACTCTCGCTATATGAGACCAGGCATTGTCTTGCACCAGGAGGAACCCAGGACCCACTGCACCAGTGTAGGGTCTGACAATGGGTCCAAGGATTTCATCCCGATACCTAATGGCAGTCAGGGTGCCATTGTCTCATTGTCTAGCCTGTAGAGGTCTGTGCGTCCCTCCATGAATATGCCTCCCCAGACCATCACTGACCCACCATCAAAATGGTCATGCTGAATGATGTTACAGGCAGCATAATGTTCTCCATGGTTTCTCCAGACCCTTTCATGTCTGTTACATGTACTCAGTGTGAACTTGCTCTCATCTGTGAAAAGCACAGTGCACCAGTGGCGGACTTGCCAATTCTGGTGATCAGTGGCAAATGCCAATCAAGCTCTATGGCGCTGGGCAGTGAGCACAGGACCCACTAGAGGATGTTGGGCCCTCAGGCCACCCTCATGAAGTCTGTTTCTGATTGTTTGGTCAGAGACATTCACACCAGTGGCTGCTTGAGTTCACTTTATAGGGCTCTGGCAGTGCTCATCCTGTTCCTCCTTGCACAAAACAGCAGATACTGGTCCTTCTGATGGGTTAAGGACCTTCTACAGCCCTGTCCAGCTCTTCTAGAGTAACTGCCTGTCTTCTGGAATGTCCTCCATGCTCTTGAGACTGTGCTGTGAGATACAGCAAATCTTCTGGCAATGGCACGTATTGATGTGCCATCCTGGAGGAGTTGGACTGCCTGTGCAACCTCTGTAGGGTCCAGATGTCGACTCATGCTACCAGTAGTGACATTGACCCTAGCCAAATGCAAAACTAGTGAAAATCAGAAGGTGAGAAGGGAAAAAAATGTCAGTGGCCTCCACCTGTAAAATCATTCCTGTTTTGGGGGTCATTTCATTGTTGCCCATCTAGTGCACCTGTTGTTAATTTCATTAACACCAAAGCAGATGAAACTGATTAACAATCCCTTTTGCTACTTAACTGACCAGATAAATATCGCAGGAGTT